ACGTGCGTCCGTAGGTTTGTGTGGCAAGTTCAGATGGCCGCCAATTGGCGAGTGTTGTATTTGCCTAGGGCTGGTCTTCAAGTGGCTTGTGTTGTGCTCGCGTGGGGGGGGGGGTGGATGGCGTGATCAAATGGCGCATGGGCAGCTGCGACGCCGTGGACACGCACGTACGTCCGAGTTGTACAGTGAGTAACCGATCTCATGAAATGTTAGCTGACATTCTGAAATGTGTTTTCGATTAAAAAGGATTACTCAGGCGCGGTTGTAATACTGATTATCTTGAGGTACAATCCTATAACATTTCAGAATCGGCAGGATGTCGACTTTTGAATGCATGTCTTTTCGACCTTCTGTAGAAACCGTACTCGATGATGTTCTTATAAACTCAACTATATTTCTTAAAAAAACATGGGCGAGAGATGCTTTCTTTTAAACATTTGATAGGGAATCAAGTCATCTTTATAGTGTATACTTGAAGAGGAAGCATAATAAGGTTCTAAAAATTTCTAATTATGAGATTTTTAGGACCGCGCAATGTTCATTCACATAGCATCTAACCTGTCCGTTTATCACTGCTCCTCATGAAATGTACAACATAGTCTGCATCCATTGCAAAATTTTATGAACCCTATATGATATCTTTTTGAAAGCATAGAAGAATATGTGATTTGCTCTACGCGCAATGAATGCACCTTGTAGACTAAAACCACTAAGCGCTAATGCAACAACCGATCAGGCTCCAAATTATTCAGCAATTTGGAAACCTTTTTAAAACCTATTTATACTCCTTCCTTAAGTATATAATATAACTAGGGCGGGATTCTCTGTCAAACGACTGAAAGAAAGCACACTTTTGTTTGTGGTTTTTCTAAATATTTTTGAATTCACAATATCATCAAAAAATAGTGGGAAAAACGCAGGCTATAAATAAGTAGTCATTTTTTTTGTACCGAGTACTGTGTCTACAGGAGATTGAAAAGCAATGCGTTCAAGACCTGACATCCTGCCGAGTCCGAAATGTTATAGATTGCGCCGCAAAATAATCAATATCACAAAAGCGACCAAGTAATCCTTCCTAATCGAAAACGAATTTCAGAATTTCAGTCAATATTTAATGAGATCGGTCACTCACTGTAGCCAGTCGAGTGGCTGCACGCCTAGAAGCGTTAGCTGCGAAAATGAATGACCTTGAGGCGACGGGGCCCTGAACAAGGACGTCAGACATGGCTGTGATGGTTGTCGGCGGCAGATTCACACTCAAACACGACTTCCTCCGTAAATTCGGTGAGGTTTGGTTCTGCGGCTCCACTTGAGTGATATCATATGGTTAGTGTTATGTATGCAAAAAAGAAAGTTAATTGGAAATAGGACGTGTACTGAGAACGATAGATAGCACAAGTGAGGAGGCTTGTGGGGACGGCCGGGTATATGGCAAGGGGGACTATTATAGGCTGATGGGTGGCCAATCAGCACAAAGAAGGTGTGAACAGGGGGGGCATGACCTTGATCGTTCGCTTGTCACGCGTTTGTGGCACGATGTCCTGACGGCCCGGACAGGATACGCTGCAGTTAGCTTACTAAAATAATATTAGCTAACGTACCTAACTTAACCGTTCGCTGGATTAGGGAGAGAGAGTGCAGAGCAGGGTAAGGGAGGGGAGCACGACCACAACTGGAAGGCAACTGAGGGTACCGCGTGGTAATTCTCAGTGCATGACCACTGCAGAGGAACCGACGAAATTCCACACCGTCATTCATTCAGGCAGTTTACTTATAGCTTCAGGGGATTCCGGTCTGAGTAAATGCGGCTTCTAGACCAACCCAGAAGGCCACACAGCTTGACTGAACAGATAAAGGGGGCTTGTGAAAGAAGGCCCGCTCATTTATGCTTTCACTGCGCAAAATTCTGATTGGTCCGTCTTCCTATACAAAAAGTGCGACTTATGTTAGTTCCTTTCAAGCCCACTCACCCGAAGGAAGTCCAGTACGATAGCTTCAAGCGGAGATTGGAGTGTGACAAACTTCTTTTCAAGGCTCTCCTACAAGACAGGGAGGAGTGAATAGGGGAATGTGTATGTGAGACACCGGATTTCGGCAGTACTTTTAGCTCGAAGAAGTCGAGTCGTGTTCCGCCTCACTGATAAGTTCTACCGATCACTCAAGAAGTCAGTTAAACCAGCAACCACTTTTGCATCAGCAAGTAAAAACCGTCAAGTGTGCTGTTGAACGTTAAATCTAGTGAAAGCGTTGCTTCAGCCTAGGCAGATTTTAGCACAAAGGCACCTAAACAGCGCGCATATTTCAACGGGTACAAATAAATTTCCTGTTCCACAAACCTTGTCTACTTCCCCACCCTTATCGAACTCCGAGCGACATATGGAGGATTGTGCAGAGTATTTTGTTCCTTTGGGCGCAAAAACCAAGTTTCTCCAAACATAGGCAAAGTATAAAGGGAAGGCCAGAAGACAACAACTTCGAACTATTTCTGGCGGAGTTTGGTTCGGCAGAGCCCCACCAGAGTAATATCATATGATTTCAATATACCTAACTTAGGCGCTCGCTAGGTTGGGAAGGGAAAGAGAGCGCGAGCAGCACTCAAGTACGCGCAGGGAAGTGAGTGAAGGTGGCGTGTACACACTCCCCCCGACACAGTTCTTCGCTGGATTTAGAGGATAAGGAGGGCGCAATCACAACTGCAAGTCCACGGAGGGAAGCGCGTGGCAATTCGCAGTGCATGGCCAATGTAGTAAAACCGGCGGAGTTCCATACCGGCTGAACAATTCTACTAGCAAGTTTACCTGTCCACTCTCTGAACTAGGATAATAAAAAGAGAGCACAGGCGGGGCTCGAACCACGCGGAGGGAAGCGCGTGTGAACTGATGACTGAAGTAACCGAGAGTGGCTTATAAGCACTCATCCCGCGTGGCACAGTCACTCGCTGGATAAGTGGTAAGGAAGATGCGAATAAGGGATATTTTAAAAATCGGCATATTCGCATCTACCAAAGTATTTTTAGAAAGCTAATCATGTGTTATCACTCAAGTGGGGCTGCAGAACCAAACCTCGGCCTAAATGTTAACAAGTGATGCTGGAGTCTCCTGCGGCGACGGATGGTACCCCGATTTTCCTGCCTAAAATCGCACATGACAAAAATTACGCCTCACTACTCTCCTCTCAAAACGGAAGGTGGATGCCAACCAAATTGGTGCTGCCTTGGTATTGGCATCATAGGGACAAGAACAACAACAACACGTTGCAATCGACGACGTTTCAGTACTGCAGACAATTGGTTAGAAACACGACTCCATCTCTGACCACTGGCTGAGGGGAATAGGAACTCAGGACTGTTGTGCTCAAATATCTACTCACTGTAAATGCGTTGCTTTGGAAAACGTCTCAAATGACGCAGTGCCAAGCGGCGCGTCGAATCCTAGGATGGATTATCATTTCAGCATTGTGGATACTGCTGCTGCTTCTATTGATGCGGGATTATTCTTTGCAGAACTTCGTCCTAAAAAGGATAAGATTTGCTTCTGAGGATCCGCGGGCAAAACGCTGTGGCCTTCTTGGGTCCAATCGTGAACCGAAAAATCACTCCGGGTCCAAACGTCTGACAGCACTGCACAGCATTGAGTACTTCCTGTCGATAAATGGAAATGCAGGCGAAATGTGCAGGGCCTTCAGGGAGGAGCTGTTTCCAACGGAAGTGCCAGTGACCACCGCAGAGAGGGAATTCCCCTTGGCATTCCACCTTGCCGTCTACAAAAGCATCAATCAGGTGGCGCGCCTACTGCGGCTCATCCATCGACCACACAATTTCTACGTCATCCACGTTGACAGGAAGTCTGCACGGAACTTCCACGAGGCAGTTCATGAGGTGTCCAAGTGTTTCGGCGACAATGTCTTGGTTGTTCCCCGGAACGAGAGCATTGCGGTCGTCTGGGGTCAGTACACGGTGCTGGAAATAGAACTGCTTGCCGCGCGATTGCTTTTGCAAATGGGACAATGGAAGTATTTGATTAATCTGACTGGCCAGGAATTGCCTTTGAAGACTAATCTGGAACTCGTACTGGCGCTTCAGATGGCCAATGGCTCAAATTTGGTCGAGGCCACTTTCAAAGGTCGCGCCAGACATCTTATTCCGGAGGTGAAGTTATCATTTCCGGTGAGTATGATTCTCTGGAATGCGAATCCCTATCAGATCGATGAGAAAATATATATTGGATATTGTTTGCGCACGAACCCTCATTTTGCAACACACTGAACGCTGGCAGAGTTGTACTGCTTCTTGTTCTCCTGGCAACAGTAGGCAGTATGCGGTTAATGATATATGGTACCCCTTCCCAAATAGAATAGCCTTGACTTAGTAAAGATGATGGGAAGTACTGCTCGTTAACCTGTAAGTTGAGACTGGGAATACTAACTGTTGTTCAAGCGCGTTTAGTAACCAAATTACAGGGCATGCTCGTTCCCAAATTCTGCTTACGGGAACGGCCGGCTCAGTTGTAGAGTGAGAAACTTCCTGATGATCGGTGAGTAAAAATCTTGTGCCCGAGCCGCAGGTTGAGTATATTTGGCTGATGAGAACTAATAGCCCGGAAATGGCCATTCCGATCACCATTATATTTGCCAACCACCCTCTCTTCATATGCACAGAAGAACTCGTCAGAAAAATTCACACAAAAAGGCGTGGTTTGTTAAGTTACAAATGGTTTACTTTAATGAAGGTCATCGAATCAGAAGACGACTGCATGACAGGTCAGTTAGTTTCGACTTAATGGAACTAGCAGCATGGATGAGAAAAATAAGGCAACGGGAAAATAGCGAAGAACAACGTATTAGTTCCTCGCTAATTGTCCTCTGCGTGTAATACACTTTCAACTACGGCGGGCATAGAAACAACGAAGTTGTCGATGGTGGGCTAGTCTGCATAATTATCAAGCGCGACATTCAGTGTTGGTTGCATTAAAAAGGGTTTCCTTGTCCTGTCAGTTTTTCCTTTGAAAAGTACAAATAAATTTTCGATCAGGTTGAGCTCTGGGTTGGTGGTAGGAGAAACATTCATCATAGGCCGCATGGAGGTAGGCTGGCTGTAGTCTAAGAAGTAGGATTATTTTCATAGCTTATATATATATATGTTTGGCAGAATAACATTACCGACAAAGACAAGGGAGGCTGGAGTGGCCGTTTCTGGCTTATTGGCCGTCGTCAGCAAGTCATACCCAACCCCGAAGTGTGGAACACCTGGCACTCGATCCCGCTACACGCTGGTTAGAAGTTCAACTCTTCTAACTACTGAGCCACGGACTCGTTGTCTTGTCGGTTGAGATCGGAAATATACAGCAGTCTCCCCAGTATTTGTCGGTAGTTATTCTGCCTATATTACATGCTGCTATGCGGCTGTTGGTTGGGCTCGAGAGTCCCAACGCACAACGGAATGAGTTAGTTCCCTAACACGACTGGTGAGCGCCCAACCACCATAGGACAGCGAGACCGTGGCTCACTGGTAGTATAAAACTCCGCCCATCTGTCATAATTAATATTCCCGATCACAACCGACAGGACAACGGGCCCGTGGCTCAATGGTAGAGCGTCAAACTCCATGACCAAAGATCCCGGGTTCGAATCTCAAGTGACCCACACTTGGGGTTGGGTATGACAGACTGATGACGGCTAATAAGCCATAAATGGCCATCTTGGTCTCCCTTGATTTGTCGGCATCATGTCATATATATAAATATATGAGAAGAAAAGGCGATCTCGGGAACCATAGTTTTACTGTCCTGACGTTTCAAAAGCATACAAGCTTCCATCGTCGGAGGTGAGTGTGGTATCGCGCCTCACAGTATTTATAGGTGGGTGACAGTCATGTCAAGACGGGTTTTTTTACGTATGAAGTCAGGGCAGCAGGGAGGAAGGGGCGGGGAGGGAGTCCTAGAGCGTCTTCTCGCCGGATGAGGGGGGGGGACGGTGGATCAGCGTTAGTGGTCACCAGCGCCTGCACACAGAGACTGTGGCGGACGGGGGGGGGAGGGTGACGGAATGTACTCAATCGACATCGGGGGCCGGCGTTGAGACGTTGGTGGTCGTCGTCCGTACCTTCATTGACCTTAGCGGATGGCAATCTTGTTTACGCCACGACGACTGTCCGCCTTCTCGGCCGCCGGACTAGTAGATGGAACGGCCGTGGTGAAGACTGCGCCTTCGTTGGAACCAGGTTGAGGGGTGACTGAGTGTGCATCCGCCATGGACTCGCTCATGTCTGGATTCATGATTAGCCTGACTGCACTTCTGCTCATCTGTTTACTGAGCTGCGCCCGAAGGGCTTGATAGGCGGAGGGAAGAGCCACACAACGGTTGATGGAGGTAGTCCCTATGTGCCAAGCCTTTATTGTTTCCCTGGCAATGCGGTCGCTTCCTAGGCCCAAAATTTAGACATGCTGAAAGGCGAACGTGTGTCCGGAATCGGCGCAGTGTTCGGCCACCAGGGACAAAGGGTCCATTCGCCTTACTGCCCTCAAATATATATATATATATATATATATAGATATTCACTCAGGAATGGGCGCACACCGATTCATTGGCTTCCCGAAGCAAACAAGCTTCGTATGGGCGATAGGGGTCACGAACAGACAACCACCTACCAGGCCGAAGTCGGTCAAGGTATGCTGTATCAATCTACCCCCCAGACTCTGTCGTATCCGCTCTGCTATCACAGCTTGGCCGACTTCGGCCTGGTAGGTGGTTGCCTGTTCGTGACCCCTATCGCCCATACGAAGCTTGTTTGCTTCGGGAAGCCAATGGATCGGTGTGCGCCCATTCCTGAGTGAATAAATACCCGATCTGCAGCGACAGAGAATGGCAGGTGGCGAGGCACTGATGAACTTCGGTTCGATGAAGTGCTTATGACCCATCTGGTGGACCCCAGTGGTGGACCAGCTGCGCCAGGTGCGTCTGTGCACATGTTTGTGTTTCCGGTCCCAGCTGGTGGTCAGGGTTATGGTTGGCTGAACGAAGGCAAACAAGCCCAAAACAGTGCTGTATCAATCTACCCCCCAGACTCTGTCGTATTCGCTCATATATATATATATATATATAGGTAGGCTAACTCATGAGATGTCAACCGAAATTCCGAAATGCGTTTTCGTTTCGAGAAGTTTAATTAAGTAGAGTTGTGAAACTAGCCATCCTGTAACATAATTATATAATATTTCAGTCACGTCAGGATGCCGGCTTCCGAATGAACTTCGTTCCGGCTGCATGCAAAAATTACACTCTGTAAAAAATGACCACTTATGTAGCATGAATTTTTCTCATTGATTTTAGATGCCCCTAAAAGTCCAATTATATTTCGTGGGAAGAATGCATAAAATATTCGCTCTTTTGCTCATTCGATAGAAAATTGCGTCTTCTTCTAATTTTATACTCGATGGAGGGACAAAAAATTTCTAATTGAGGGACTTTTAAATACCGCGAAATGGCCGTTCACAAAACGTCATGTCTGCATTTGCCAATGTGGCTTGTAAAGTTAACAATACGGATCCAATCCACTACTAAATTTTATGAACGATATATAATCCTCCTTTATTACCGTAGAGAAATGTGTGGTTTTCGTACTCGGAAAATATACGGCTTGTAGTTTGGAAACCCTGAGTCCAAGTGTAACGGTAGAGCGGGTTCAAAATTATTCGGGAATTGGAAAAGTGGATAATTTCGGAAATTACTCAATGCAGTACATGGAGTTAAGTCTGTGGAACATGACTTAAGGGTCAGAACCGAAATGTCAATGATTATTTGAGTCGAAGACAGTAGACTTCTGGGGAATAACCACGTAATGCCCATTCTACAAACGAGTAGTACTACAAGTAGTAGTATATGTATATATATGGGCCAATTATGATCACCTCGCCCAGTTTGATAGACTATCCTGAAACATTTGCGTTACTGTCGACGAAGTTGTAGAACTTCCGATGCCTGCTAATTTTTTTGAGTGGTCTCTTGATGTGATGGAATTTGAATAGAGTTTACTCACAAGCAAATAAGCTCATTCAACACATTTGCCTAGCTCCATTCATCTATTGCTCATGAAGAATCTGGGTAAGCGCCCAAAACACCGTTAAACACTTCGTAAAGTCTCTGGAGCGATGTCCACCACCCGAAACAATCCGTGTTTTGTAAAAGCATACTTCCGACCGTTTCCCTGAGTACTTCAGTCGCGCCCAGTAACTGTTCCCCTGACCAGGTAGAACGAAATTTATCAGTCGATTAAATTCTCTCCTCTGAATCCAATGTGCGCCAAACTCACACACTGTGTTCTAATCACATCGTCCTCCCCCCCCCCTCACCCCACTTAGGTAACATGGCTGAAGAACTCACTCCACGCTGCCTTACGACGGGAGTTCGCGGAGTTTATGCTCACCGACAAGAAGGCAGTGGAGTTGAGCGAAGCCCTGCGCAAGTTCGCATACACGAAGGTTCCAGATGAACAGTTCTACGGAACTCTCGCCTACAATCCACAATTGGGTGCACCTGGTGCCTGTCTGAAGCTACACGAGCGCCATGACCAGGGTGTGCATCCGATACGGCTGCCAGGACTAGTTCGATACAAATTATGGCAGCCAAGTCCCTGTCCCACTAAATACACTCGCTGGATATGCATCCTTGGTTCACAGAGTTTGCCAGACCTGATCAGGGCACCGCATCTCTTTGCCAACAAGTTCCACGAGGAGTACTTCCCCGAGGGCTATGATTGTCTGGAGTACGAGATCGCCAAGCGCAGTTACGAGGGCACAGCCAATCATTTCTATCCGTCCTTATTTGCGAACCTCTACTGTTCATCGGAGCATATTTGATGGATGTGAAAATAATCTTACACCCTTCTTGAGGCCTACTCCGTCGGTCCGTCGAGCCGTTCAGAGCGCACGCATGCTGACACATGCTTGTTTTGTATCTCTTTATGCAGCCGGAGTCAGTCACGGTTGTCTACTGACACGTGATGGCCCGGCCAATTAATTCAACTGAAATCAACTCTCGGTAGCTGAGCCAGTCTTTTGGAAAGTCTTTCAAAATACATTCCCCCTGATGCCGGCGGACTAAAATCTACGCAGATAGTACTCGTCGGCCGAGTACCTGTTTGAGCATGCACGATGACAGCGTATATGCGTCGTGGTAGCGCACTGTGATTTAACAAAATCCAATCGGGTCGGATCTCATTTCACAGCCGTGCCTGCAGTTGACAAGTTCTAGCCTAACCCCAACCCCTAACCCTCAATCATTACCCCTAACCACAGACCATCACCCCAACCCGAACCCCTAACGCCAACCCATTACCCCAACCTCTAATCCCTAACCTCAACCTCTAACCCTTAATCCTAACCCCTTACAGGTACGGCTACGAAGTAAGAACCTGCCCCCATTCGGTCAAACAGACGTCGGGGGTGTTGTCAAAGCGGTAACGTTCTGAGCCCAGTCGGCATTAGAATCAGTAGGCCATATCTGAAACACTGCTGGCTGTTAATCCGTCAGCAGTAAAAGTTCAAAACTGTTACCAGGCGTCGCGAGGATAACTGCTACTTATTACAAGGCTAAGTAGTTTGTGCCGCCCATGACGCCGAACTCGGCTGCTAATAACTGGTCCGAGCTTGCGTTAATTCAGCACTAAATACTACCTTTTCAACGTCAGCTGAAGTTGAGTGTGTCCAGTGGGCAGGTAGAGTTTCAAGGATCCCCACGCTTCCATACAGTTGGCCCAAAAGTGCCGAATTTCAGCAACTGTCATGCTTGGTCTTTTGACATTGAGTTGATGTGAATACCTACTGGCTACGCATTAGCTGCGAAAAACGGTGGTGCCGTTTTGATTGGTACCGACCAGTAGAGAGCATCTGAGGTCATATTAAGGTAAGATGTGGTCATGTAGCCCCACCTGATTGACACACTACTGTTACGGTTGGGGTTATGGTTAGGGGTTAGGATTAGGGCAACTATTACTCAATCACCCAAAGTACAACCACGCATTCCTAATCGCTTTTCATTTGCATACAACCACTCGACCTCCTCGCCTGTGCATTCCCGGTCCGACCTGTAAAAGCCCCTATTACCACCGGTCCCGTATTACAGGTGGTTGGGGCTACACAACCACGTCTGACCGATATTAACGCAATTATGTTTGCAGCTGCGAACTGTAAGAGGCACTGGAAATCTACCGCCAACATGGTTACGTAATGAGATTGCTGCCTGGGGCTGCAGTGAGGCAGGCATATGCGTCCTCCGCCAAAACGAAAACAGCCCGGCAAATATTGATCGGGTTAGGGAGGGAGGGGGTTGGATAGAGAAGGTCGAGTGACGATTTCAACGACAAATCTGTTTACAGTAGATTTGAAGATGCTTCCCCCCCTGATGGTCTTCGTCTTCATTTCTGGTACACACGAGCGGTTCGCGCCGACATTCTCGTAGGAGGGGCCTTCACTTGCCGCCCACGCCGAGAAGTTGCATTCTGATTGGTGCACGCACAAGGCGCAAAGGATCAGCCCCATTTACCGCCATGCTGAGTTGACCATACGCTATAAATCTGCCACGTGCGTGCAGAGGTGGGAATACGCCGAAAGACAAAAGGAGTTTTAATTTAAAGTCAACGTCACCGTTGGGTACACAGGTCCGCTTGTGAGAAGTGAAACGGCTACCGAGATGAAAGACCATCCAATAACGGCAGCGGTAATGTGGATCGATCAATGAACGCGGTGCGACTCTTGATTCGCATTTTTCGAGGAAGGTAACTAGAAGGATGCACTACCAACGAAGACGAGAAAGTTCTGCAACCAGATCGGTGAAAGCACTTCCATTACACTGGCGTGCATCCCGTACATAACACCGAAGAAGATAAAGTAGGGGAAGAAGAAGAAGAAGAAGAAGAAGAAGAAGAAGAAGAAGAAGAAGATGAAGAAGAAGAAGAAGAAGAAGAAGAAGAAGAAGAAGAAGAAGAAGAAGAAGAAGGGGAGGAGGAGGAGGAGGAGGAGGAGGAGGAGGAGGAAGGCGAAAAGGAAGAAAGGTAGGGAGAATTTGGGGAAGAACGTGAAGAGGAAGAGGGAGTAGAAGGCGAAGGGAGAAGTAAGACAATAAGGAGAAGAAGAAGGGGAAGGAGAAAAGGAAGTAAGGGAAAAGAAAATGAATATGAGTAGGAAGAGGACGGGGGAGGTGGGAAAAGGAAGGAAAAAAAGGGGATGGGAAAGAGGAGGAGACGAAGAAGAAGACGGAGACGAGGAAGAAGATTAAGAACAGAAAGGGCAAATGAGAAAGAAAATGCGGAAGGTTGAGAAGAGGAGGAAGAAGAAGAAGGAGAGGGGAAGGAGGAGGAGGAGGAGGAGGGGGTAAGGGCAACCCAGAACAAAATGAGGAAGGACGAGGAAAAAGAAGAAGAGGAGGGGAAGGAGAGGAAAAGAACGAGGACGGAGAGGAGGGGAAAGAAGAAGCCGAGGAAAAAAAGAAAATCAGTAAGAATAAAAATAGGAAAAAGAAGACGAAGGAAGGGAGGAAGAAAAACAAAAGGAAGGAGGTGAGGAAGAAGAATGAGAGGATAAGGGAGAAGGAGAAGGGTGAGGATGAAGAGACAGGGCTAGGAATAGTAAGAAGAGGGAAAGGGGGAGAAGAAGAAGAAGAGGAGGGAAAGGGTAAGGGGAAGCGGAATTGGGGAAAGGAGGAAGTACATAAAGAACGGAGGAAGGAGAGAAACGTTGGCCAAAAACATTTGACAAACAATACCCAGTTGATATCATTTGCTCTGACTACAGCGAGGCCTTTGGTCGCGTTCCACATCATCAGATTAATTTGGTAGCTGCCCCGGTTGGTCTTAAGCTATTGAGCCTTGTCGCTAGCCTCGTATTATGCTCGTGCATAACACATGGACTTTGGTGTGCCCATTTGCTGCTGCCTAGCTTCGACCCCTCTGACCTTGATAGTTGGCGTGATGGCGTGATTTTTATTCCCTCTTCGGCAGCCAAAGTTGTCGCGGGGCCAGCCTGCGTTCTGATCTTCCGCACATCGGTCAGCTGACTGTCGCCAGCTGTTGCCAGCCTCGTGGGCACCTGGGTCAGGCAGTATTCGAATTTGGTCCCGTGACCTCTCCCCCCTTTTTTTCCGTGCCGTGTCAACTGTCGACCCCGCACGATCTTAGCTGTCTGTCTTATTGGCCCCGTCCAAACTGATTCAACCCTGGTTGGCAGGGCCCAGGTCTGTGCCTGGGTTGTGTGCCAGTCGAGCACCAGTCTGGCCATCTCGTTATCTCAGCCTCGCGTTCTCAGGCGCGTAAGTGTGGTTCTCCGGTTGTAGCTGGACGTCTCAGTGCAGCGCACGTTATTGGGGCGTTGTGGTCCGCCTAGAAACAGGCTCGTGCCGCGCCAGACACCTGCAGGCAGAACTGGAAACACGCACAGGGAAGCGTGTGTGAGCCGATGCTTGGTGTAACCGAAGGTGGCGTGTATCTCCGCGACACACCCACTCGCTAGATTAAGAGGATAAGGAGGGCGCGCTCACAAGTGAAAAGCCGCAGAGGGTGCCGCGTGCTAATTCACAGTACATGGCCACTATAGTGGAACCGACGGAGTTAGACACCGTCCGAACAATGACAGCAGCTGGATTGAGATAATAAAGAGGGCGCGAGCAGGACTCGAACCACGCGTGGGCAAGGACGTGTTAACGGAGATCCGATGCAACCGAGCTCTCCCCTTCCCCCCTTGAGGCACAGTTACTCGCTGGATAGTAAGGAAGGTGAAAACACGTGACAGATGTATGTAAAGTTGGCGTAATCGTGCCTACTAAAATTGTTTTAGTTAGCTAACCGTATTGTATCAACCAACTGGGGCTGCAGAACCAAACCTCGCCCAGTATCGTACCTGTCCGTTTGTTAATTCCTCTCATAAAGCATGCAACATAGTCCGCATCCATTACAAAAATTTCATGAAATCTACATGGTATCTTCTTGATGGCACAAAGGAATGTGATTTTTGGCACCTCGTAGGCTGAAATCACTAAACACTAATGCAACGGCTGATCTGGACGAAAATCATTCGGAAACTGGAAAGCTTTTCAAAACCTAAATATACCCTATCTTCGAGCATAACATGCGAAGTTGACGTGATCTCCTACCAAATGAGTTGGAGAAAGCATATTTTGCGCAGGTTTTTCACAAAATATATTTACATTTACAAGACCATCGAAAATCAATGTTAAAAATACATACTGTTTAAGTAGACATTTTTACCGAGTCTAATTTTTGCGACAGATGCAAAAGAAGTGCGTAGTTCAGTTATTAATATGTAGGTAATTATTCCGTTAGAGGTTGGTGGGCGAAGTTGGAATAGGGTTCTTTGGAAATGACTTCGCATGTTTGGTCAGCGTTAACAATCGTATAAAAAAGTACAGACCAAACAGTATAGAATGGAATACGGTGAGCCCACCTTTTTCTTCAACTCATCAAACCCGGATATATCACAACATTGCCAATCTGAAAAGTGTGGTTCTCTGGTTGTTTGTGGACGTTGCAGTGCAGCACACGTTAGTGGGGCGTTGTGGTCCGCCTAGAAGCAGACACATGTCGCGCCGGACAACTGCGCCTGACTCGACAGACGGAGTAGTGCACTTTTGCCAGAGAAGACGTCACTGGTCTTGCGAGAACAGTCTCCAGTAAAGTAGACTAAATTGTTTGCAAAAAGATGGCTCCGTCGTAACTGCCGATTTTGGTGACTGTTATATTACGCACGGCAATTTTTTCACAGCGAGAACAATCAAGTTGGTGAGGGTGTCAGCCTTTAGGAAAAAACCATCCATAATCTCAGGGAATGTTTAGAATTGGTAGGGGGCC